AGGCAGACATTAGCGAGGGTCCCAAGGGTGTCTGCTTAATACAGGTTCACAGTAGTCTCATAGTATGCAAATAATCTTGTATTAATTATTATATTAAATAATAACTATAATAAATTTTTATGTTGCTTTTTCTATCAGATCGAGTGCTTTACAAAACTGAAAATAGTCATTTGAGCACTGAGTTTACAGTTAAAACTAATGAAACAAGTGATTCAATTATAACCACAATTATCTGTTGAGTGAGGTGTGACTGAAGTTTGGTGACCAGGTTTTACATTAAAATCGTGTTGTTATCATAGGCAACTGCCTCCATCTTCAGTGGCAACTTGATGGCCTTTTGATGTCATTAGCAGCAAAGCTCACAAAATTGTAGGTGACACAGGGCTGTTGATATTGTCACCATTGGAAACAAGGGAAGTTGCCTGTGACAACACTGTAATTTTAAGGCCAAACCTTCATCATCAAAGCTCCTTCATACCATTCTCAACTGATAATTGTAGTAAGTGTTCACACGTTCAAATAGAGGCTAATGGAAATGTGAGTTTGGTGAGTACAATATGTGGGTTTGTAAACACCAGCTGCAAGAAAGTCTTTACATAGATACTTTTTAGCTGTTATAAAATAAAGGTAAACAATGATGACATATCAAAATCATAACCGCATTTAACTTCATGCAAGAAATGTGTTTCTTTCCTACAGGGAGGTTCCCCGGAGACTGAAGGATAAACTTGTGTCATACATATTAGTGCTGGCCTTGATGATTGATGAATTTTCGCTGGATTGCACAGTTATAGTGAGAGATCTTAAATTGCCCATGCCAAGGTACGGAAAAATAATTTGCTTTACTTACGACTAACATCACATGTTAATTTCATTGTGTGGACTGCTAACTATCCCAACTACAAATACTAGAAAATCACTGGGCAACTTTATAATTATTATTAACCCTGATGTCTCATACTTTTTCTTGTTTTTGAGTCAGATACCCTCGCTGGACCATGTGTCTCTTCACTTTTGAGACTTGTCATTTAAATAACATATTTTATGGTTTCCACTGTACACTTCAGATAAACCTTTAAGTGATCTAAGGTATTGCTTTCCTCCCAAGGCTTTTTTTGTTGGCCATTGTCATATTAAAATAATCATTTTAAGCTGCAAGTATAACCCATTATGTAAAATTGAATACTGATATGATCAGACGAGTACCATTTTCAACAAAAAATGTTTCAACACAGTTTTCAGATTGTGGTCAACCTATTACTAAACTTTAATCTCATGGAATGTTCCTGGTGATGCTTCTTTAAATAACAGTAACAGATGGACTGGGGGGGGGGGGGTCAGTGTCAGTGTTGTACTATTTAGGGACATATGGTGTGAAACAGCCATAATGAGATTTCAGGACTCCATTAAAACTAGCTATGCTAAATTGGATGCCCCAGAATAAATAGATGTTAAATTAGATTATTCGCTCTTGATTTATCTTCACAATAGAAATCTCAAGCTCATAATTTAATTGTTAAATGAAATTAACCCCTAGTCTTGAGTTGCTGAACATGTTGTCTATTTCACAGGTTGATCAAACATCTGAGAGCCGTTGGTTGTGTTATAACATCATCAAATGTACAGAGAAAGCGCAAACTTGAGGACAGCAATGGCATTTCATCAAAAACTGCAGTTCTTCAAGTTCCACTACCTCCTAATTTTCTAGGCCACAATTTACATGGGAAATGAATGCCCCTAAATATTGAATTTTGATCATGGAGTGCACGAAAATTGTGTTAGGATTCTGATCTTTGCAGTGTTGGTGGTTTTTGTTTTCAAGATTATAGATTTTCCTTCATGAGCTTATTACAAAATTAAAATGATAAATAGTATATTAATTACTGTATTAGTTCTACTTCGGCCAAAGTCCAGTCCCACCATGTTGCCCTCATAAAAATTTCAACGAACCTCTCTCATGGTGATCTAAGAAAGTATATGGAACATAAAACCAAACAAACCACCCATGCCAAGATGATAACCAGTTTATTTACAAAAAATGTTATTTAATCTGACATCTTCGTTGGATAATGTTATAAGCAATAACAAAGACAATTTATCATTAAACTAAGTTTTACAGATTGAAACAGTTACAATAGTTGGTTGCTTGAATATTACAATAGAGTTTTATGGTGCCAAAAAAAAATCCAGTTATTTATCAATTTACAGTTGATAAAGGTAAATAAATATTAGTTATGCAACATTTTTGAGTGGTATATCATGAATATCCCACAAGTCACTTGTACTTTCTTGGTATACACACAAGCCTTTTGGTGAGTGAGGATACCAAGAAAATACAAGTGACGAGGAATATCCCATGTTATACCAGGAGAGAGCGTTGCATAACCATTTTATACCATGCCATAGAAAATACAGTGGCCAACACAACCAATGCGACGGATGCATGGCACACAATGGGTAGGTTGAGTGTCATACCATCGAATAAACAACGGCTTTCCTGTATTTTGATTGGCTGTATTTTCTATGGCATGGTATAAACAGCTGTAGGGAGTTTGTGAGTTTGTTTGAAATTCACAAGCTTGATACCATTATCAACTGCAAGTTGATAAAGATAAACGTTTCATTTGCCACATACAAAGCCCAGCCCTATCTTTGTTCATTTACCAACACCCATGTCTAATGTTATTAGTTTTCTCTACATAATTTATCAATACCTTGTCAAGCAGGGGAACAGGGTGGGGAAGTATTATTAGAAAGGACTATTAGAAAGTCCAGATGGGTGTCACCTGTTTAGGTATAAATCAGTCAGTGTTTACAGATTAATATTCCCCCCCTGCAGAGTTAACAGTCATGGATACTTTACTATTTGTCAAGTCTACAATAATGATTGATTTTCCTAGGACTACCACAGCTGGTCATTTCACAAGAGGGCACACTCTGTCACCATCTTCTGAACAAGTCATTTCTTTGTATTTTTTAACTTCCTCCATGTATGCTTTCCACGCAGATGACTTGCTCTCAGCCTGGCAGGAAAATAAAGTAAGAGACAGCTGATAACACAAAATAGCTCCTAACAATATCCAGCAAGCCTCCGGACTGTATCTTCCCATGAAAGGACAAAAGGGGTAGCAGAGAGACGGGCAGAAAGTCCAAGAACTCTGAATTGTAGTTCCAGCAAATAAATTGTTTTGGCCTTAAAATATGGTTCACAATTCCTCAAACAGCATATTTTTATCAATGGGCCATTCCCTCTATAACACTTGTACGCAGGGAACCATGGTAGTGGTATTGATCTCGCGCACAATTTCTTTGAGACATTGCATACAACTACCATGATTCCCTGCATGTATGTTTCATGGAAGGAATGGGGTGTAAGTTTGCCAATTCTGTTAAGGCAGGCCACAATGGCCTGCCTTAACAGAATAGACCATTTTACAGTTGTCTGCTTTGTGACCTGGCCTTTGGATGACAGCAAGGCTGGAGTTGACCTTGTTTTGATACAGACCTCACTGCTTTTGTCATGTAAATGCACCTAGTTAGCATCAGAGCAACTTGTTTTACACAACAAAAGCAGTGAGGTCTGTATCAAAACAAAGTCAGCTCCAGCCTCGCTGCCATCCAAAGGCCAGGTCACTGAGCAGACAACTGTAAAATGGTCTATTGGAGCAACCAGCTGGAGCAAGTTGCCACAGTGTCAGGTAAGTCTGTTGTGAAAAGGAAGCAAAATTTGCTGAGCAAAAGAATGTTGCCATCATCCAATAGCTGTTATTGCAGTTGAGTCTGCAGTCAAATATTCTTTTGTTAACAAGGGATGCGAACAAAGCAAAAGGGTCAACACAAAGGAGAATTGACCCTTTTGCCTCATTTGTATATCAAACTGCCATAACAGCTATTGCTTGGTTATTGCATAGACTTTGAAAATGCTTCTTAGTTCTAAGAATTTGGAGATATATTGAGACTATTTTTCTAGGTTTATGACTTGTCTGCTTTTGATATATTTTGATCTATCAAAGAGGGACATTTTACCTCTTCCTCTGCCTTTTTTGCTGCTTCAGCGGCTTCTTTCTCTTTCTTCTTTTTCTTTGCGTGCATTTGACGTGTGGCGCCACCCATCTTTCCAACAGCAAATGACCTCTTTCCCTAGATTTATTAGATTAATACTAACACCATAAGAAAACATCAAGCTCACAGAGCTGGTAAATGCCTCTTGAAATGCTTTAACTCACTGCCTGATTGTGATCATTAACAATATTGCAAATTAAATATGAAGTTTGATTACTTCACGAAATACACGTTATTCTCATATGTTGATTAATCTAGTATTTTCACCAAAAATGTGTATAGTACTCAATTCAGTCATTTTCATGCAAAAATACAAAAAGTAAGAATTTCCACGCGGACATTTAAAAGTAGGACTTCATTCGTAAAAGATAAAATGGATAACAGCAGATTTTTAACCATTATAAAGACAAAACACAAGTTAATTGAAAAAAAAAAGAACCATTTCGATGCAAACCCTCAAGACTCATCCTTTTGGTGAAAAACCTATCGTTAGGTCTTAATCGATTGAGCTCATTTTGAATTTCAAAGCCATGTGCCCGTCTTAATAATTTTTCTTACAGTACACCGGCTCTGAAGTTCTCCCAAAGTGGTAAAACCCTAGAATTCTTTCTTCACTTAACCAGACCTGCTGTGGTAATGAAACTGAAGGTCCAGGAACCTTTCCCTCACTAAGTTTCTCTTGGCAGGAGCCTTCATCGACTTCCTTTCCAGCTTTCTCTTCCCGATCCACAGTTTGCTCGACCGTACTTTCGGTTTTTGGTTGCAATATTTGGGATTCCGCTTCCATTCGCTTTTTGAAAAGTTCCAGAAAGCTGCCGTCGTTCGCAAATGTATTCATCGCGATTGCAGCACCCCGATTTTGTCCCTCTGTACTTGTAGTACTCGATGATGAACTCGCGTGTTTCTTCGCAGGATTCCGCGCGGAGGCCATTTTTTCGACTGAATTGAATAACGCTAAGACTTCTGGGACTTCTAAATTTTTACAACAGCGAGAGGTATTGGCACGAGTGTTTCCCCTCGGGTCGTCACGCAATGCTTCTTTTGCGTGACAACTCATAGCTGACGACCCCAAACAACAGCCGTGGCTGCGACTATCGCGGTTATAGCTCCTCTACCTCGCTTTCTTCGCACACAAGTTTTGAGCACCGCAAATATTATTCTCTCCGAAATCGACTTTCGCGGCTCCACGCGTTCCAGCCACCTGCTTGACTACATAGAATTTTTCCTTTCGCGCGTACTGATGCAAAAACTCATGGGACGGTCTGTCAGCTCCCTTCTACCTTTCTTTTTTACCCGTAGTGGATGTGGTTCTTGCGCAATTAGTTTTTGCACCAGTCAACGCTTACGCGTCGCGCAAGCGAGGTACAATCTTTGCCCATGCGCCTATGTACACTACATATACCCGTCATCCAGTCCGCTCGTGCAGAAACTTGATGAACATCAAAGACCCTAGGCTCGATTACCAACCGCTGTTTTGGAACGTAGTAACCTAATTAACTTAGTGTTAGCTCGGTGACATCCTCTGTAAATATTGTTATTATAACAGGAGCCATAATCGGGGACGGAGACCGTAAGCGCGCGCCATTTCTAGTATTGGGGTTGTCCCCACGATATGGGACAATAATTCTATTTTTAGAACAAATTGCGCCATCGC